ATCATTCCTTATCTCTACCTTATCTGGCTTAGTTTCTATTGACCTTATTTCTACTATTCACAATACTTCTATTCCTTATCGTACAGCTACCTCACTCTCTATTAACTTTCTTCTTCACTTAAACCAAGAAATATACAAACAAATATGGATCCCATATTGTATTTCACGATCAGCATAGTCTTTAACTACACCTTTTACAAACTCAACTTATAATTCTCCTTCTCATTTATCATTACCTCCTATTGCAATACCACAAATTATTACTAGAATTGATCTTTGGACTATCCAATGGATTAAATATCATATTCCTCAATCATATATTATTACTAATATCCAAATCTAAGTAAGCTTTGGCCACTCTTGTAGGTTTAGTTCACAGATTATATGTCTGAGTCTTTATTCTTCATATGTAATTTAAAAGCAAGCTTTTCTTTATAAAAACTTCAATTGAATTTCAATAAAGTTAAAGGCATAGCCTCACTGTTAATATTTAAAAAAAAATAAAAAAAAAAATAAAAGACAATTAAGAATTATTACAGCTTATGGCCTAACAGAAGAAATAATAGCAAGAGACAGTATTGATCAAGGTGAAGTGATATCACCCTTAATATAGTGGCTCTTCTATGATCTATTATTAGAAAGAGTACAGAAAAATGAAAGCTTAGGCTATGTAATAGAGCAACAAGTAAGAAAAAACATGCAATGCAACAATAGTACAAGATATCGTTAAGCAACAATTGCATATACTAATAATACAATATGGATTGCAAATAATAAACAGCAGCTGATTAAGATCTTAAAAATAGCAAAAGAGTTCTTTATAATGAACAATATAAAGATAAATGAATCAAAGTCAAAGCTGCTAATAATGAATACAAAGTTGAAAAAGGAAAAAGAGTAGTGATTTTGAAAAGAGTAAAATAATAGAAGAACCAAGAAATAAGATAGTCAATCATTGGGAATATGGCTAAATAATAGAATGTATGAAGTGCTAGTAAAAAAAAAGCAAAAGGAATAATAAGTCAAATAGTAAGAGACCTCAGATACAAGAAAATAACAATGAGTTAAATCACATATATAAAAAATATAGTTATAATACCAAAACTAAGTTACATGCTACAACTAACGAAAATGTCAGAAAGAAGCTTAAGTGAAATACATCAACCAATAATAAATCTGACAAAACAGTAAAGTAACCTGCAAAGAATGTTAGAAAACTATATAATAGAACACAAAGATCTTGGAAGCTGTAGAACATTATGAAAAGAGATAGTAATAAAACAAGTAGATAGCCTAGTAACAAGATTAAACAGACAAGATGGACTCAGACAGTTAACAAAATTAAGAATAATATAAGGCTACCAAAGGGTAGGCCTAACAGAAGATATATGAAAAGTAGAGAAGATATTAGAAAATTTAGACAGTTGGAGAAATAATTTAGCTTACTTGATGATATTAAAAACAAGAAAATTAAAAATAAATATAAGAACAGAAGACAAGCTATGGACAATGTTTAAATATAGTACCAAAATAAATGAACTTATTGACATTGACTTATAGAAAAGATGTGAAACTAAAATAAATGAAGAAAGTCTAATATACTTAAACCAGTTGCTTGATATGAACAGAGAAAAATTAGTTATATGGCAATAACTAAAGAATTACCAAGGTCTGTCGAGCAAAAAGAAAAAAGCAAACTGGTTCAAAATAATAGAACAAAAAGTACTTAGTAAAGTAGAAAATAAAGAAATCAAACAACACTTCAAGATAAATAGACAAAACATACAAGCAATGCAAGTTAAATAGAAGAGTATATCAGAGGATAAGAGAAGAAAAGAATGAATAATATATAGTGCACAAAACCATAGATAGCTGGGGAAAATAATTAAAAAGAAGAATAAAAAGCTACTAGTAAAACATTGGCAAATGCAAAGTAGAGAAGATGAATTAGCTATTGAAATTAAAAGATATAAGAGTTGTACTAGAACAGAAGAGAATACAGAAGATAACTGCTAACAATGGATTAGAATAAATAACAAAATTAACAGAGTATCAGATGTGTTAATAAAAAAAGGCAGTAATAAAATTAATATAGTAATAGACTAGATAATAGAAACAACAAAAATGAAATAACCAAAAACTGAAGAATAAGAACTCGAGGAAATTAGAACAATAGAAAAGTTAGAAATAAAAATCATCAAACAGCAAAGACTAGATGAGTAAATTAACCAAAAAATAATAAAAGCTTTAAGAAAAAATATAACAAGAGACAAAAACAAGTATATAATATATACAGATGGTGCAGCAAATATAAAGGCCAAAGAAGATACAGTAAATGAAAATAGAATGGGTATAAAATGGGTTCAAACAAGTGAAACACAAGAATGGCCAGAAGAAAAAATAACAATAGGCTTAGAAGGATAGCAAATGTCAACAATAGGAGAGTTAGTAGCAATATGAGTAGCAATATTAACGATACCAAAAGAAAAATACATAGAAATATATACAGATAGTAATGCACTAATAAGAAACATTAAGAGAGGTTTAGAACAAACAGATAAAAATAAGATCTTCAAAAAGAAGAATGCAATATAGATAATGAAAATTAGAGACCTTATTACAACAAAAAACATACAGATAAAGTTAGTCAAAATAAAGAGTCACAGTAAAGATAAATGGAATGATAAAGCTGATTGTTTAACAAAAAAAGATGCAACAATTAAGAAAATAATACAGATCAAAGAAGTTAATTGTAAAGAAATAGAGTACTGCTTAGAGTGAGAAAATAAATGAACTAATATACCAGCAAGATTGTTATATAAGCTAATAATAAATACAAGATTAGGAACAGAATGGAAAGAAACAAGAGTAATTAAAGAATTAGAACCAGAATCAGAAGTTATGATATATGATTGGATATTTTTTTGAAAAAGACTAAAGGTGACAAAAAGGGTACATTGTATAACAAGAAGAATTAGTGCTAGAAGAAATGTATTTATAAAATGTATAATAGACAAACTTTTGATTCTAGAAGAACTTAACAAGAGAAAACCAGATATGTATATAATGAATAAATGCCAAGTATGCAAAAATAAAATTAAAGAAACATAGATGCATTTAACAACATGCAAAGAACAAAGAAGTTTATAAAAAAGAATACAAAAAGTAACCATCGCAATAACCTGAAAGGGACTTAGTGAAGAGGAAAAGATCTGAATTCCTCTATATGTATTATACATAACACTCTTTGGTAAAACTGAAATAGAAGAAATAAGAATGAGAGAAGCTTTAATTAAAAACCTGATTTCAAAAAAAACACAAAATAGATTATGACAACTTCTAAACATAAAGTCAAGACAGCAATTTTCAAGTATAATAGCAAATATGACCTGGAATACATTTTATGAACAAGTATGGAGAGTCTGATATGAAAAGATCAGTAAATATAAAAAGAAAGTAGAAATAATGGATTGGTTAAAATGAGAAGGAAAGAAAAAGAAGGTGAGATCATATAAAAGAAAAAAAACAAATCAACAAAAAATAGAAGAAAAAAAAGAGAAAATAAGAGAAAGAGAAGAACAAATCAGAACAGAAACACAGAAGACAATTTTGAGACTTGTTGTAGAAAGGAGAAGACTCTTCTATTATGGACTTTAAATAGTTAAACAAGTAACTTACTTCTGCTTGAAGTAATGCGACAAGTTGCACTTAAGTACCATTAAGGTGGCCGGGTAATGCTAGACTTAGTTGTTAAGGATATTTATGTAATTGCAAGTGTAATTTCAAAATCTTAATAAAGTACTAGCGTGACTGCTTAAGGAAAAAAAAAAAAAAGAATGCACGTGTATATCTGTTGATCTATGTGCATGATGAATTCATACGTGAAAAATAACCAAAATTTAATGAATAAGTCATGCGGACCAATCAAACTTAAGATTTTGCATACACTTCGTGATTTCATCACTCGGTTCCTGGTATTCTCATACGTAAGTTATATCCGAAAATAACGTTTCAGAAAATGGCAGTAATCAACAGAAGCAATCGTCCAAATTCGTAGATGGTTATGTCGCATCTGAAGTAGCGGTTTATCTAAAGTAGCGCCCTGGCTAAAATTATAACCTAACACATGCATGAAGATCTAATTTCAGGGTTCTATTTTAGCCAGGTGCTACTTTAGATAAATCGCTACTTCAGATGCATTATATTGAATTCTTATATGTAAAAATAAAGTTTCGGGTAATAGGTTTTCCCTTAGCAGTAATCAACAGCGATCGTTCAAATTTGTAGATTATTTACACATGATGATCAACCAAACGTATCTCGAATTTTAGTAAATCGGCCAATCAGATTGCAAAAAACAGGTTGTGGGATTCACGGGATTCAAAGAATTTGTTACAAGGTAAAGCAAAAACATTAATTCATCCGTTAATGTTACTCTATTTTCATAGAAAGTAAGCTACTCGAGCTTTTAAAGTCGTATAAACCGTATAAAAAAATTATTTATCGGAATAATAAATTTTGAACGGTCGCTCCTGCTTATAGATGGTGGTAGAATTCAACAAAGGAAATTTTAACAATGAAAATGATTAGTAATCAATGTTATAATTTCCTTTTTTGAATTCTACCACCATCTATACTTCTTCCATAGTTCAGTATGAAAGCATATTACGTATTACGTATTACTATTAAGAAGGTTTTATGGACACTCTACCCTTAATTTTAATTCGATATATTCCGTTTCCGGTCTAGCAAGACCTATTTTTATGTTATACGAATGAAAATCCAACCTCATATATTTTAATAATTTTAATAAAAAGAGAAATCAACCGCGACATTAAAAAAAATAAATTAAATATCTTGCTTTTTAAATATTAAAATGAACAAACTATAATTTCTAATCATAAATTGTTTCAGATCAATTTAGTCCTGTTCCACATACAATTTTTATATAAATATATGCTTGTCTCTTGAGCCAAAAGATAAACTTTTCTGTTTGAATAATGCCAGGTTTTAAAATACGATTCCTCTTAACTATCAGCACTCTTTTATCCATTGTAAATGCGAATAAGACGGTATTTATTGATCCAAATGATCCTTGGCAAGTATTTGAAGGATGGGGAACGAGTTTAAGCTGGTGGGCAAATGCGCTTGGTGGATTTCCGGATATTAGGAATCAATCTGCAGATTTGGTGTTTGATATATCTAAGGTACTTTTTCTATTGTTCAATTTTATAACTTTCAATCCTTTCACAAAATACTCGAAATAAGATGAAAAAAGGTTCAGGTTATGTTCTAATAATTATGAAGAACTGTTTATTGGTTGATAGTGATTACTAGCCTGAATCTAAATATGTTTCGTTAAAACTAGTTATAATCAGAGATCCGCATAGCTATTTATAGTGACTTTATTAGTTTTAGAGTTCCAATCCGGATAAATCAGTCATCCATTTATCCATATACAAATTTATCTGGATATCCATTTACTATTAATATCTGGATAATCCAACAAATATCCGGATAATTATCCGGATATCAATAGTAACCAGATATCCAAATATATTCGGATATTGGATATCCGATGGATAAACGGATATATATCCCTGATTTTAGTCCCTGAGAATCTTAAATGCAAACATAGGACCTGATATGAAATTTGCTTTATGTGATTTTAGGTTTTACTAATTGACATGATTGTAAAATAGGTAAATTACCAGCAATTTACCATAAATTTATAGACCACCAAAAAATTTACAATGCTGCTAACTGAAATTTGGGTTTCTATTAAGTAATTAATCCGACACCAGGTGTGCAACATATAAAATAATTATTTTACGATACCAGACCATTCCACTAGCATGTTATGATTATAAGCTAACGCCTGTTTTATTATAATAAAACAGGTGTTGGATTATAATCATAACGTGTACTAACGGAATGGTCCGGTATTGTAAAATAATTATTTTATATGTTGCACACCTGGTGTCGGATTAATTGTATAACATTAACGGTCTCTCCTTTAACGATTATATCCTGAATAGTTAAGTATAAGCAAAAATTTACCGGTAAATTTTCGTTTATATTTAAATACTCAGGATATGTAACAGTTATATACTGAATGTCATGGGTATAACTGAAAATAAAAATTCCGCCTATACATATAAAACCAGTGTATAACTAATTTATACAACTACAATCTTAATATAGTGAGAATATAAATTCTTTAGTATCGTAATATAGAGTGTGTAACTTGATTCTCCCTTCTGATGCATGGCTATATTTAATTAAAATAATTATTACCTTAGATGACCATCTTCTCTAGCGTGGGTTCTATTCTGTCATAAAAATCAGATATAATAAATTAATTTGATATCTGATTTCCCTTTACGATATTCATTGATTATGCTGAAGAGTGATTTACTTTTCTATTTTTATATCAGAAGTTTGGATCCGCAGAATTAGAATCCGCATAGGGATCCAGTCTGTTATAAGTTTAAATATGCACGAACCTAATTCAAAACAGACTTGGTTATATTTATGACTTCGTAATTAGACATCTCTGATAGATTATGATATTTTAAAAGTACCTATTCGATGAAAACTACTAGCGCTTATTATATATATATATATCACTAATCTTTAATTGAAAAAAATAGGGATTGGGACTAAATGTTATACGATATAATATCGGTGGAGGAGATGATCCAAGTCATCATCACATGAGAATTGGGGGTGATGTTCCTGGTTTTTTGCCATGCAATAATTGTGATTATAATTGGACTTCTGATGCAAATCAAAGATGGTTTTTATTTGGTAAGAAATATTAAAAATCATATAATTCATTTTAACTTATATTAACGTTCAACTAATAGCTGCAAAGGAACGTGGTGCTGATATTTTTGAGGCATATTCCAATAGGTATGTAAAGCTATTCATAAATTTTTTTGTTTAAAAAAACTTATTCTAACACCTTTGTACTTAGTCCTCCATATTGGATGACTAATAGGTGAGTTTTCAAAAAAAAAAAAGAAGGTAACCATAAGATAAAAAATTTGGTCAAATATCCCTTGAATTTTTTGTAGTGGTTGTTCTTCTGGTGGTAATTAATGATGCCTGACGAAACTAATTTGCCCTGACGAAATAGTTTCGTCAATGGTTTCGTCTGACGAAACCTGACGATACGACGTAATTAACGACGATTGACGTAACTGTTGACGATTGACGTAACTATAGACGAAACTAAATTTGGGTCAAAATCCGAAAAACAGATCCCCGAAAGAACATAATACTGACAAAGTTAGCTGGCACTAGC